ACATCTAAAAAACGGTCTGCTATTAACCATCATTATGCATACTGGTTATTAAATGCAATCTTTATAAAGATGAGTTTAACTGCGACCTCTAGGACAGAGATGATTTAGTGGAAGAGAGAAAACAAGAAAAAGAGAATAAGCCACATGTATCAAAAGCACACAAAACAAAACCACAACAAGGCAGCCATATGCATATTTCTGCCCTGAATAAGAAGAACGGGATGTAATTCGTTCTGTCACTGTTTAAACTAAAGTTTGTTTTAGATTCAGGGATCAAGCAGAGCCAGAAGAGATAAGATTAATGTTCACCAAATTTACAAGAGGGAAAAAAGACAGGACAGAAATATTTCACTGATCAAACACAAACTCCTTTATTCAAAAAGTTAAAATTTCTTGCTTCCACAGATCTACTGCTGTTATTAAAGCAAGAGAAGGGACCAAATCAAATACCAAAAATGCTGAAATTCATATTAAAATTTTCATTAAAAAAAATAATGAAAATACATTTTCACTGAAATTGCTATACTTACAACATGATAAAAATTACATTGGAAAAAAAATATTAAATTGCAAAACCTCCTCATATAATATAAAGACCACAGAAATGGTAAAGTGACATTTTCCTGCTGATTCACAGGACACAGAGGTCATGTTACTGCTGAAACTTCAGGGGAGAAGAACTTCAAAACGTCTTCCTACCTCAAGCATTTTGATTGGTTCTACACATGTGAATCACCTCAATGTCACTGGTTCAACAAAAGCACTCAAATGCATAACTTCAGGGTGAATAAACGCCACAAAGCAGATCAAATCAACCTATGAAGCTGAGATTTCAGACTTTCTTTGACAGTAATCAGAAATGAATCCACCAAAAACATTTAAACAAAAAAGAAATATATACTCTTATCCCATCCAAAAATATGAATGATTAAGACTTCAACTGTAAGATTTAACAAACTAGGAGAGAAGTTTTAGTACAAAACAGAGGACATAACCCAGAATAGAGCTTTAGGCGTAAACAAATCATTTAAATTAATCTCATTTTTACAGCATGAACTCAAAATGTCAGTATGCAAAGTGCTAATGACAAATACAGTATCTTAAAAAACTATGCAGTTCATGGTCTGCAATATTTTAATAAGCATATACAAACTAATCCCTAGAATACAAGAATCATCCATGCGAATAAGCTCCTAGTATCAGTTAATTACCATCCATCTCAAGACTCCAGTATGAGCTGCAGTTATGAGCCTGTAATAGATCTTATCACCTCTGATTTGTGTCCTTACACTAGTGGAGCTGCAAACGTTGGGGACTTGATGCATTGCTAAAAATTGACTTTAACCTTTAACTCTACTGACAGCAAATCACAACATTGAGATGTTGTGTGCGCCAAAACTACAATTTTTTTTATTTTTTTTTTTAAATCAACTAGTCAGACCTCGATGAGGCACTGGCTGATGTGACATAATATATATATATACATAAATGTATAGATTTGTCTGGCAAGCCAACGAATACGGTGCAAATGAAAATTTCTCATTATCATTCACCTTGTTAAAACGGTCCACCCACTTTCTAAAGACACAATGAGGAACATCGGTTACTAGAGGCCTTCTACAAATTAATAAAACAAATACATCAAATTATAGTGCCCCTGAGCCAAGCAGGACTGTGCACACATAACATCTTATTACATTAATCTACATATCTAAATGCTGTGTCCTTACAAAGGACGCCATGTAGAGCTAAGCAATCAGGGCCACTTGTGAGAGTAAACGAGCGCGATTCATTTTTCAGTTTAACAATGGCAAAGATTATTCAAGTTCATTCGTAAACTCTTTACAAAGGTTACATTTTTTGTAATTCCTCAACGACTTTCTTCAGTCTCTCGATGAGCATGACCTGGCATGAATATTCTGTAGCGAATCAGCTCATTCATGGGGAAATATGAATAATTAATCATAACTAGTTATAATTAATTATAAATATTTAGATTTATGAAATCTGGTTAAAAGTTATTAGCACATTGACTACATTTTCCATCAACAAAACCACACTATTAATGAAAAGACCCCATTTGATGAACTTCATCACACATTCTACACATCATTTTCGCCTGAAACTAAATTCCACAGTCTTGCATTATGATTAATAACACGACTCTTGGTGACAGCTCTCAGGAGACTTTGATACTGGCATCACAACAAAATACAAAACTGCACCAAAATATAAAACCAATAAAAATGTACATGTAAAATTAATATTATGGCCAGGGCATTGTTTTGCAACATGCAGCAGCTGCTCACACACAAAGTGTAAAAGGCATTTTGAGGGCCACAGAAAATAACTTTCTTACAGTACTAGTGCATTAGAGCATGTAACTAGATCGGATCATTAAAGGGACATTATCCACAAGCAGTGAGAGAATCAGAAACTCATGTAATTTGTGGACAAAAGTTTTATTAACTAAACACTAACACATAACTAGTCTATACAAACAAACAATCACACAAGCAGGAAGGGCAAATGAGACCGAATGACTGAAACCTTTAGAGAAACAGGGAACGAAGCTATGAAAAGGAGTCAGTTAACTACCTGAGTGAAACCATCAGCGCCGTTTTACAACGGGGTCTACAGCTTATACTAAACCTCTGTTTTGTTTAGTTAAATGTACGATACTTGCATTGCCTTGGCCGGGTCACTGATGTGAGGCATTTTAACTTCTATGGAGGTCACACCTCCAGGGGGTCAGTGAACCAATGTGGACTTAAAATTTCGGAGGGAAAGTTTACAACTCTTTGTCCTAGAACTGGATTGGGTGCTGATGCAAAAACTATTCAAGATTCTTAGAACACTAATATGTTGCATAAGTATCAACATATAATATACACTCATTTAGATCATCAAAATTCAAATTCAAATTCAGCGGGATTACGGGCATTGCGCATAATTCTACTGATTCCCGCAGTTTCCGCGCTTGTAACGTGGGAAATTCTCACAAATATTTCAGCGCACAATACACACAAAATTATGTCAAAATGCCCATCTTGATGTGTATTCACGTAAACAGTCGATTTATACTAAACATTGTCTGTATATAGACTATTAAGTGAATGTAAACAGTTGAGAAACAAAACTTATGAGTAACCGTTAGATCCGTGCATGAGGTCTTAAAGAGACAGCAACTTAAATAAACCTGCTGCTGTCTGTCATTAATGTTTATTTATACATTGAAGACTAACTAGTGTTATTTTAAAGTGAAATAGATTATTCCGTTTCTGTGGTATTTCTGTACCTGAATATTACTGTTATACCTACCTGAAAAACTTAAAGCACAGTTAATTTTAGTTGTATCTTGTCATTGTATTTGTTTGTGCCATTGCTTGTCATTTATCTATTCTTATTTTATTACTGACTGTTTACTTGTCTTTTTTAGTTAAAATAAATTCAATTCAGAGTCTTCCTCACAATATAAATATCAACATTATAAATTGTAAAACACAAATACACTGGGTGACGAAACATCCCAAATATGGATACCAAATATGGTATAGGTGAGGTTACATTAACTAGTGGTTCTATCATAAGCATGCATAAAACAGAATACAATACAAAAGAAAATATACAAGAAAATAATGATCATACACACAATGTATTGGCATGTTCATTCATAAAAGGTTTTCTATGAATGAATAGGGAAGAGTCTATTTTTATGGGCATTATGTGTGTTTCCTATGGGGAAATGGAGTGAGACAAAAAACAGAAAGAAAAAACTGTAATGGTCTCTAATGGTTGATATTTCCTCCTGCACATGTTTACGTTTACCAGTAGTATCACTATTTTAAGTGGATTCAGAAACAGTACATTTCAGAATCAGAAATACTTAATCTGCAGCAAAAAGGGTGTTAATGGCGGCCTTGATAGCATCTAAAAACCATTTTCATGGTAATGCCAGACTGATTTGCCTAAAAAAAAGACGTATACAGTATTTGAAGTGGACTAGAGAAAGAAAGGCAGGGAGGAACACTACCCTCAGGTTAGGGTTTGAAAGCATTTTTGGTCAAATGGTATTAATTTCATAGCATACTCCAAGACAAATCAAAGCAAGTCCAAGGATCTATTCAATGTTCTGTGGCTAAATGAAATGCTTACTTGTTATCAAGACCACATTTAGATGTATGCCTTATGGATTCTAAGTATAACAAAAAGAAAAATGAAAAGACAGCACCTCACAAGCATCTTGACTAAGAAACAAGATAAAAAAAAAGAAAGAAATTCTTAAATTAAACTTCTCTGACTGAACTTGCCCTGAATAATAAATACCGTGTTATGATGAATGACTGTCTATGCTGACAGATCTTTCCCACGAAATCTCTCCACATGAAAGTTAATTAGCAAACACATGATTTCAAAGCGCATGCATTTACACAATACTTTGCTTGCAAAAACTATGCGGTTTCAAAGACAGGCCAAAGAGGAGTTTTTTTTTTTTTTTTGCTGGACCTAGATGCAGATTTAGACATCAGGGACTGGATCTTGTTAAATAGTTTTGCTTATAAATATTTTAATAAAAGCAATAAAGCACTCTATGCCATGCTGTATTCAGCTAAAAGACATTGGTAGACAAAAAGCTCAGCAATCTGGTCTTATTTCCCTTATGCTTAAAGGTATAGTTCACCCAAAATGAAAATTCTGTCATCATTTACTCACCCTCATGTCATTTTAAAACATGAAACAATACATATAACAAATGCATTGTGAGAAATGTCTAAATGTTATTTTGTGCCCATACAAATGTCAATGGTCACTAAAACAGTTTAGTTATCCTTCAAAATATCTTCTTTTGTGGTCGGCAGGAGAAAGAATGTCATACAGGTTTGTAATAATATAAGGGAGAGTAATTGATAGAATTTGGGGGAACTATCTCTTTAAGTATTGACCACCTAAAATTATTCCAAATACAAGGGTGGAAATAGTTTGCTTTCAAAAAGAAGTACCTGCTGACTGACACTTCACTGATTGTAGGGCTTGATGATCTTGATGGAAGCTCAATTACCCCCTCCATCTCTTCACTCTTTACTTTCAGCATTGTAGAAACGAGAGGCTGGGGAGCGTTCTGAATGCTGCTTGGTGCACCTGTTACGTTGAAAGACAGAAGAACAAATGAAGAATTCAGATGCAAAAGCCTCTAAGTGCCATCTGAAATTTTCATCTAAAAGGAGTATTTTTATCAGGCTCCTGTTTATGTTCAGTTATTTCACTTTAATGGCATAGAAAAAAACCTATACATTGCCAATAAAGTAAAATTACTGAACCTAATCATAGGAGCCTGGTAAAAATGCTCATTTCAGAAGAAAATTTCAGACGGCACTAGAGGCTTTTGCATCTGAACTCTTCAAATACAGTTATGAATACACCACTGGAATACAATCTTGTGGAAAACCTTGTGAAATAAGACCTCTTGATATTGATTATTGGGACAATTTTTTTTTGTTAATATTTTCGTATATATTTTAGACGTAGTCAGAATCTAAAATAAAAATAAGTCTTGGTGTTTTTAAGAAATACAACAACACGTGTGTCACAGCAAGAGTCACACTAACACTTTTTTTTTTTTTTACGTGCGGCAAAAACTTAATTTTAATTTATTGATAAACACTATATACAGTGGTGTGAAAAAGTGTTGGGCCCCTTCCTGATTTCTTATTTTTTTGCATGTTTGTCACACTTTAATGTTTCAGATCATCAAACTAATTTAAATATTAGTCAAAGATAATATCTTTGACTAATATTTAAATTTGTTTGATGATCTGAAACATTAAAGTGTGACAAACATGCAAAAAAATAAGAAATCAGGAAGGGGGCCAACACTTTTTCACACCACTGTATATATATATATATATATATATATAAAACGTGAACATTTACAGAGTGATGAAAAAGGTATTGTTTTTGTATTGATCACCACACCACCAAAATCTCTATTTACACATAACCACTATTGGAGAACTGACAATTCCAAAATATGATAAAGAGATAACCAATCTAGACAAGTTGAATATTTTTACACTGCAAACTACTTATTGACTCTGAAGTCCACATATAGAGCCATTAATGCTTTGTTGATAACAGCATGAGACCGGTGCATTATCATTAGAGAAGGTAATGGGGTCACCAGTGTTTGTGTGTGTGTGTGTGTGTGAGAATGAAATGTACAGCACATTTCATTCACACACACAGACACTGTTTGAAACTTTAGTACTTTAGTATATAGTAACTCTGTCACTACAGTGGTGGTAGATTTATATGGTTAAATTATTATTTTTTTGCATACATTTCCTCAACATTCAAGTCCTAAAACTTGATAAAGAGAGTCTAATCAAAACACACAACATGTTATATTTTCACTTGTTTACCAATTAAAATGCTCTAATAGTGAACCTCTTTGTAGAAAAAGTATGTGAATCTTTGTTTTCAGAAAAGTAATAATGCAACCAAATGTTTAAAAAAAAACAAAAAAAAACTTTGGCTCAGTCCTGAATGTCAGATTGGAAAAATGTTGGTCCACTGTCTTTTTGGAGCAGTGGCTTTCTCCTTGTTATCCTGCCATGCACACCATTCTGTGTGTTTTCTTGATGATGGACTCACAGCTTACTAAATTCACATCTGATTTTTATCACCCTATTCTGATTACTTTAAATGAACTGATAATGACTTCTGGATCATTTTGGTAAATAAATGTATGAAAAAACTATTTTATTTTCAAATTACTTGTCAGTTGGATTCTGAATATAGGTTTAATTTACAGAACATTTTTAAGGGTTCACAAACTTTCGAGCACCACTGCAGTAGCAACCATTTCCAGCGTAGTGTCAACATAAATGTAATTTATTATGAAGACACTTGGAGATTACGGGACATTCTACGACCTAATTAAATATCAACTATTCAAATTTGTGACTATATGCAATTTCATTAAGCAGTTAACTACAATTATCTACAAATCAAGCTAAAATGACCTATACAACCTGCCTACATTTAACAAATGTCAGATTTTCTAAATTCATTGCTGACCATCAGTTAAATCGTCAATCAATCAATATTAACTAATGTTCAAATGAGGATATACAGTATGGGGAAACGTGTAACATCTTTAAGTGCAATCTGAAGAGAAACTGAAGACAGTGGGACCTTTGGAGTCTGTCTCCTCTGTAGACTTCTCTTCTTGTTTGATCTGTGCTCTCTTGGATGTCTCCAGACGACCTCTGACCTGGGCAATCAAACGGGAAAATTCGCTACTGTGCTGCTTCCCTAAGTAAAAGAATCAAAAGGCAGAGAAGTAAAGTGTTTAGTACTACTTTCAACTTACTTTATATAAAGAAATTAAGAAACAAATACTGAAGCTTGAAAAACGGGCATTCTATAGCAGACCTGAATACCTCAAGGAAAGTTTCAGGAGGCGGAGCATATTATTAGATTTTGATGAAAGAGTCATTAAATTTTCCCCACCTTTTGCAATAATGTGCACTAATGAATCAGGAACGTTAAGTAAATATGGTCAATTATGATATCAAGCTACTTTTTACATTATGACTTTATTATTTAACCTTTTTAATCTTTAATAAAAAATGCCAAAACCGGCATTATACAACAGCCATGCCTGGATAATAAATTATTACATAATGTCAAAATACATTAATAAAGTAAAAAAACAAAGCCATAAAAGGAAAATCTGAATGTATCTTGTACCGAAAATGATAGAGGATTATATTTCAATCTTAGCTTTCTCTTCTAACAGAGAATGAATCCTGCAATGGAAAATAACAGTGACTCTGAAAGCACTGGCATTACAAGGCAGACCATGATAAATGTATGGGCGAAAAACAACAAAAGCAGATGAAAGGTCATACGGCCTGCTTTTAAAATCACATCAGCCAAAAGCCCAAGAAGAGATCAGCTGAAATGACGACGAACTGCAGGAGAAAAACAACAGAGATATCCAGCACAGCTCACGATCACTAACACACTGCTTTTAAATGTCCTCAGACCCTGACATTCATCTGTGTCTGTTTGCGATACAGCATATGAATCCTGTTTCTATTCCCAGTATATCTGGTATAACTGAATAGGGTTGAATTTATAATATTTGCATTTTATTCATGGAACACATATATATGGTTCCCATTTGAAAAATCAAGTGAAAGGTGAATAGCTTAAAGAACGTAGTTTTACAAAAACAAACATATACATGTGTAGAATCCAACATGTGTAAAATCCTATCAAGTCATCTTTGCTTTTAGCCTAGTAAGCAGGTACACCAATAATTTAATGGAAGTAATGCTTACAAGAAAACATAACCACAATTTTCACACAACATTCATCTTTCGAATTTTCACATACAGCAAATTTGTCCAGCAGGGTCCTGTTATTCTTAAGGCCTAATTTTTAGCCAATAAAACGGCACACTGAGCGACATTACTCATATAGTGTTATCTCAACCACACTGTTGTTACTCACTGAAAACATTAGAGCGCGTGGCTTCTAATCTCAATTGTACATGGTGTGCATTAGTTATGGCCTTTATGGCAAGTTAGCCTGACATCTCTTACTTCATACTACAACAGCTGAAAGCCCATTTTGGCAATTCCATTAGAAAGCCTATTTAGTGTCATTTTTCATAAACCACTGCTGGCTAATCACAGAATTGCTAAATAGGGAACTTTATCTCAGGAATAATGACTTGTTGACTGTCTGAGAAATTACTGCCTTTTTATGTGGGCAAAGTTTTAGAAACAACTACAAACTGAAAACAGCTATATATAAAAAAAAAAACATCTCAATTCCCCAGAGAACCCATGATGAATTAGTCTTTGGGATCAACCTACAAATTGGCATCATGTCTAATCAGCTCCATTATTTATTCCTAAAAAAATAAGTGAAGAAAAAATCCTTATGTGAATAATTTATGAACCAGACTGCTAAAAGGAACCAGAAAATATAAATTCCAATTTCGAACTTTGTCGTCTTGTAATTTTGTCTTTTTTAAAAGCATGTTTTAAGTTGTTTGAGTACCCTGTATTTTTATTATATTAGGTGCACATGCACAGTTTTGAAGTATGCTGTACCATGCTGTGTTGATTAACTTCTGTTTCACTTGTGCTCTGCAATTTCCTTCGTGGAACTGATACAAGTATGTATCCATCTAAACTGCAGATCTCAATAAAAACTGTTTTAAGTTAGCCCAAGCCATGCCACCCACCAGCTGTATCTGATCTGCGTCTCTTCTTGCACAAGTCATTCTGACGCTGAAGACACTCAGTAAACAATGAAGTCAGACATTTCTTCCAGAGCCAACAGCATTATAAATTGTGAAAACACATATCATGTGTTTTCATATCAAACATGATACAAGTTCTTGAATTTATTCATTCTTGCTATAAGCAAAAGAAGCTGTGAAGCGGCTAGGATAACAACTAAAAAGCCCTGAAGTAGTAGTTTACGGATAGCTAACACAGCTTACTCTCATAACGCTACAATGCTTTAAACCAGATAAACACAGGGGATGATTGGGAATGATAACAGATGGCTTTCTCCTGCTATTTTAGATCTCCGGGGATGCAACAAACAAAAATATCAAGTTCCCCCCTCCCCCATTGCAGATTTTGTATTTAACAGGCATTCCTATTTGGTGACAGTCTACATTAAAATATGACCATGTGACAGAACAAAAAGAACATTACAGGAATCTTGAAACCATTACTAAGAAGTGGGTGGTAAAGTGTTACAAGACTTCAATGTCTAAATATTCAGTTTCTTTCTCAAGTCATATTGAGTCATGCTCAGGAAACTTGGGATAGAAATCTGAGGCTTCAGAGTTATTTACTGTGGACAAAAGCAGGATCAGATCTGATAATGGCCAGTTACCCGACAGGCTCTTGAGCTTAGCATCCTTGTGTATATATTTATACAACAAACAAATAATGAAAAAAAAAAGACTACAAATGTAATGACTTGCAGAACACACAACTATAAACAATATTATAGTGTACGATCTAATCTAAGACTCTGAAACAAAATCATCCAACAAAATAAACATCTCCACACAACACATATGTGCCAAAATTATAAACGCATGTACAAAAAAACAGTTCAGTGCTCTGTTCATTTTCATTTTTCATTTCTGACAGACAGAGATGGTTGGGTTTAAATTGGTAAATGAAAGGTAAAACGCTATATATAAAAGGAAAAAATCCTACAAAAAATGTCCTACAGGTCCTTGTAAACATACAGATCCTGAGGCAAAGGGCATGAAAAAATTCCTCAACAATTGAAACAAAGCTTCCCTAGTGCTATGATAAAGAAAAATTTAAATAAATGCAAAAATATATGAACAAATAAATGAATAAATACATAAATATTAAATAAATATTTTAAAGAAATATTTTCAATTATTCTGTTTATAAAATTGCGCTATGGCCTAACAGTGACACTTTTGTTTCATTATTTAGGATGAACCTGTTGTATAGAAAAGCTAGATTTCTGGGGTGTCTTATTCACCCCGTGTCATTTCCCCATTCATCGGACACTCCATGAAGCTGGTGAATCATCAAGCCCTTTTGATGATTAATCAAGAGTTTATCTCGGCATGCCGCTATTTATAGATCTCCTCCGTGCTGCGCATCAATATTTCAACATCCTGTCTCCGACATCCGTCTGGCTGCTCTAATCGCACAGTGGCTTTCATCTTTTGCTGCTAGGTCAATTTTACATGACAAATACGGGCCATGTTTTCTCACTTGGCGAAAATTACACCAATCCACCTTAAAAGGCTTTATTTCTAATGGGAGGAGGTTGATAGGGTAAGTGGGTTTTATTATAGCAGAGACGCCACTATAGGACTAGAAGCTGTAACCTGTTCATGCCAAATAGAAACACAAGGAACAAAACCTTTAGAGTTGAAGTTAATAGTGCACAACATTTGGACCTGTAAGGATAAATATCCATAAACAGAAACAATTAAAGGACATTTAGTTTACTTGGTGAACATCTTCAATCTTCAGTTTCTTAGGTTTATGTTTAAGGAACAGTTCAATCAAAAATAACAGTTCTGTTATAATTTCTCACTCTCATGTCATTCCAAACCTGTATGACTTACTTTCTTCTGTGGAATACAAAAGTAGAATTGTACTGGTCGCTTTTCCATTATTATTCCCATCTCAATGAGGCTTTCAAACTTCAAAAAAGATGCAAAAATACCATAAAAGTGTCACATAATGGTCTATAACACTATAAGTCTTCTGAAGTCATATGATAGCTTTGTTTGAGGAATAGACCATATTGAGACCAAGATGTTTTCAACGATAATCATCTCCTCCACTAATACAACACAAATTAAATTGTTTTAATTCTATTCCATTAAAACACCACAAAACACAAACTGACTTATTCGGCTGATTCCCTTAAAGCCCTCTTGGCAGTCCATCAAACAGGGGACAGTATTTTTAAAGCTTGGAGCCCATTGTCTGATTTCTTGGTCTAAGCGTTCTGAGTCGGGTCACTAAGGCAGATTGGAACATTTAATGAGGTAGGATCGATCTTGAGACCCTGTTGGTATTGTCGTATTGATCACCACCTTCCCCTCCAATCCCTTGAGGGATCTTTCGCCGTTCCTCTCTCACTCCCTCACACACACGCACTTAGCTGCTTAGTGAACTTGGGAGTCACAAAAGGCAAAGGTTTCTGGAAAACATTTTGGCTGAGAACTACTTAAGATAACCGAAGAGAGATTATGCATATCGAAATCGTCAGGAGAGAAACTTCAAAATGAAAGCATGCAGCTCCACTCAAGACCTAGCTAAATCTGTATTCAGTTTAGAAATCTCTGCACCACAGTTCTGCATACAGTCCAAACCGTACCTGAACAAGAAGATCTGATATATGAGGTAAAAGCGGCAAATCAGAAAAATTATTTTTGATGATTACGATCATAGCTGCACCTTCAATCTTGCAGCCATTTTCTGCTCAGCAACTCACGGCAGCATAGCTACAACACTTCTTTAATGTAATTAAACAATATTTTTCACAAAAACTAGTTACAACAACATATAACAGCAGCTCACATGGTACATCTTTTAAAGAGACTGTTCAGTAGATAAATATGACAAATGATCTTAGCATAGCCTTATGAGACATTAATAGCAGGATTTTCTTTCAGTCCTGACTTTTTAGATAATTTAAAGAATGAAAATGACAATCTAACCATTGCTTATGTAAGTCATATGAGTGATTCAAATGCAAATCCTCAATTATTTCTTTTGCAAAAAAAAAAAAAAGGAAATACAAATTTGACATTTTTTTCCAGACCAAAATAACTGGATAGTAGGCACATCACATTGAAGCTACGAGTCCTCAATTAAAAAAAATAAATAAATAAGAGTTTGAGACTCAGAACTGGACTATGCCTAAGACAGACTGCCTTCTCATCTCAAAGATTTACTGCACTGTCCACAAAAAAGTGAGAAGACTCACCCCAAACACTATAAAAATATTATTCTGGAGCCACGGGTAAAAACATTTGCCAATATCTTTACCTAATAATTTACAAAAATATTCAGATTACATATGCTCAGTCAACCTTGAGGTAGGAGATAGTAATGTTATTCGGTACATAAATCAAACAGACATTTTTATTTTATAATGCACAGGACAAGCAGGAGAATGAACCTGACCCTGTTGTGACATCACTCAAACATCAGTGCAAGGACATCACTTCCTCTAAACTGTCAAGAGCAACAGTCTCATTCTTTATTCAGTGTAAGTTTTTATAAAGCCAGGACTTACGGTACTTTGAGTGTAACTCCTCAATTTCTTCAGCTGTCTGATTCTTCGTAGTGACGATTAACTGTCAGACACAAAACATTATGAAAAAAAAATAAATCTAAATGCTGGAGTTGTTTCAACATGAATGCACTTTTAAAAAGCTGAACCATCACAAAAATGTATTTTATAAATAAAAATAAAATGCAACAGAGACATACATATAGAAATATATATGACATTATATACACATTTATATATATTTTTATATTATAGAAATGACAATCCATAGTAGCACATACAGGTTTTCGTTTACTCTCCAACTGATTCCTTAACCTCTCATTGTTTTCAAGTTCTTTGGCAATTTCTCCAGCTGTTAGAAAAAGCAAAAGCAAAAACATTAACTATAAAATACAACCACCTTTTCTGAAAACAACAACATGTAAATATATACAAATACATAAAAATCCCACCCCAATACGTACAGTACCTATTTGGTTTTCTTGCATCTATTAAAGCACACAAAAGGGATGACCATTCTCATATCATTCTGTATAACATGACCATTAGGTTTTACACAATCTTGTGGCATAGAAATCAGTTTGAGTTCTATAATTTATCAATTCAATCTGCCATTGTATATGACAAAACAGAACCTCACAGGTAGTGTGAAAAAAACAAAAAACATTCCACACTCAAGCCCAAGCTCTTAAACAGAAACCATGGTAACTTCGGGCGAATGAAAGAAAAATAGAAGGTTTCCTGCAAAACCTTTGACACCTCAATGAAGAGAGATGAATTCAGCTCTGAAAGGGTCAGTGGGAAGGGAAGCAGTAACTCAAACAAAACTTGAGGGATGAAAGTACTGTATTTTTCCACCAGCCCTGTCATTTTTGTGCCAGGGTCCCCACAGGGTGACTAACTCCAGCACATAATTTACATTCCACCACCTACAATCACTGGAATGAGTGAAGCTGTGTTCAGCTAAACTCTTTCACCAGCAATACAGGCTGGGCCAAAACATAGGCTAATTCATGTCATTCATCATCGTGTTAGAAACACACGTTTACATGAAACCCCAACCATGTTTTTCAATGGCTTTAAAGCAACGTCTTCCAATTCACCATATATTTATTCATTCAGTTATTGATCTCTGACTTTATACCTGATTTGGGGTTGAGTGCATCACACTGTGCATTATAAATGTGGGTGAATTGCTGGTGGCGTCGCACGAGCTGTTCTCTGCTGCCTTGAGCGGACAGGTGGCATTCTTTAAGCATCTTCTTGAGTTTTGGAACAGAAATCAAAGTGTACAAGAGCTTAGGCATCGCCTTTCGCCTTCCACCACTGAAACACAAACACATAAACAAGTCACAGAGTCACTTAAAGGAAAAAATGTTAAATACATTGAAAATTATAGAGAAAAAAGTACAAACAAAAAAAAACATTTTTTTTTTTTTTAAATCATTCAAAACAAATTTACAAAAACAATTCCTGAAATTCTTCAGCTTTTGTATAAAGTATTTTTGCAGCAATTTTAGATTTGGGTTCTATGGTAATTTTGCACAGCTTAGGCATTTTCGCCTTCCACCACTGAAACACAAACACATAAACAAGTCACAGAGTCACTTAAAGGAAAAAATGTTAAATACATTGAAAATTATAGAGAAAAAAGTACAAACAAAAAAAAACATTTTTTTTTTAAATCATTCAAAACAAATTTACAAAAACAATTCCTGAAATTCTTCAGCTTTTGTATAAAGTATTTTTGCAGCAATTTTAGATTTGGGTTCTATGGTAATTTTGCACATGAAATCTATAAGCAACAAGAGGGTGTTCGTTACCTGAAAATGTTAAGATAAAGAAATATTCCTCCCCTTTGAGACAAGAATGTTTTATAATTCAATTTTTTATTAAAAGTACACTATTACTTTTTTGTTCAAAATTAACTAAATTTAAATAAATATTTAAAAATTAACCTGAAACACTACAGTAAGCTTGTAAGTGTTTATATTTTAGACCTGCTGGGATGGATTTCACAGGCAATTGCGTAAAATTGTCACTTGCCTGTGTGGGTCCCACCATAGCCGTAAATAGAGAAAAGTAGATCCAGCTACTCAGTAGCTAGCTACCATGTAGCTCTAACAGCAGTGTGAGTTTACTAGATAGCATTAGCTATTGTAAAGGGTCATCCCATTACGGATTGTTTCAAGGATGGACCGTGTAAATTATAAAGCTAATAGGTTGCCAACTTAATGTCTTCAGCTGTCTAAAGAGTAAAACTGCGACCCTTTCCATCTAAACTGGTTATCACTTGAGCCTGTGTTTTGGTTGCACTTCATCCACATCCAAACTTATGTAACGTCATTAATTTAAAAATATCAATGTTTCCAATAACTCAAAACAAACCCTGAAGACTTACCCTCTCAGATGACATCTTTTTTTAGATTTCAGTGTGTACATGGTACATTTCAATGTGTACAACAAACCACATTCATGGATTAATGCGCGCAGAGCCGAAGTACAACCAAAACAATGTTCTTCCAAGACATGCAAGATGCATGCAGTTTTAATTATTAATAGCTAGAGGGCCAAAAGTTACATAGTGTACGTTTAATAATATTCACTATCAATTCTTCCACCAAGTAATATAGTCCAATAGCCTAACTGTGCATTTTTTGCCCATTCTTCAATAAAAAATGTGCAGTACCTCTAGCAAATTAGATGGAGAGTGACTATTCAGGTCATAGCACAAGCTTTCAATTGGATTTTCAAGTCAAGTGTCTAGAATGCTAACTATAAAGTCACAACTTCATAGTTTTGCTGTGTAGTTTGGGCAACTGTTGTGCTGGAAAGTAACTCATATCTCTGGCTGACTGAAACAGGTTCTCCTCAAGGATTTGCATGCATTTGGCTTAATCCATTTTGGCCTTGATGCCAACAAACTTTCCAGTTCCACCATGTGAAAAAGAAATCCCCCAAAACAAAACACTGCCACCATGGCAGAGTAGGTGTTATCTGGTACCGAGTTGTATTTTTCGCCAACCATAGCGCTTTGGTTTCAGGCCAAAGAACTTAAATCTTGTCAGACCAAAAAATGTTTTACTACCAAAATGGTTCAGGTTTTGTCTCATGGCTTTTACATGATTTAATGCCAGTCTTTCTCAAAAAAGGTGTTCTCCAAGACACTGACACTGTCACTGGTTTCTGGGTCAGTTCTCTGAGAGATGTCCTGGTCCGGTTGCTCAGTTTGTTAGGATGGCATGATCCTGGTAGTTGGCCGTATTGCCATTTACTTATTAACTTGTGTGATCTTTAGGGGATCACATCATACATAATTTTATGTTTCCCTGATTTCCTTCATGAAATGTGTCACATAAACAATTAAAGAAAGAAGTGGCATGCTTATGAAAGAGGCCAGAAAATTGCCTAAAAACACTTTGTCTTATTGGTATCTTATTAGGCATGATGTGTAATATTTTTTTTTTCAAATTGCTTTTTGTATACTTCCTTTTACACTTCGTTTCCTGAAAGGCTGATTTACAAGATAGTATTACTCATGAATCGGAATATGACTAATGCGGCAATATTTCTTCGTTTTCAATTATACTGGATACAACAACCTTCAGGCCGTACAGTTAAATAGCTGTAGTGATTAAAGGCACAGTTTACCTAAAAATGAAAATGCTATCATCATTTGCTCACCCTCATTCCAAACCTGTATAACTTCCTTTTTTCTGTGGATTCCAAAATAAGAAAGTCTCAGTGTTTTTGTCCAGTGTACTTTGCCACCCAATGTTCTTCAAAGTCTCTTCTTTTGTGTCCCACAGAATAAAGAAAGTGATAAAAGTTTAATATGAGGGTGAATTATTAATTAAATCTAAGGGTACGTTCACACCTGGCCCGTTGTTTCGGAACCTGGCACGTTTCCCCCCTTAGCTCGGTTCGTTTGGGCATATGTGAACACGGCAATCGCGCTCGGATCCGCGCCAAAACAATCGGTCCGAGATCGCCTGAATGAGGTGGTCTCGGCTCGATTGAAAACGAACTCTGGAGCGGTTCGGTTGTAGTGAGAAAGCAATCCGATCTAACGGGCCAACGAACCAGGCTATATCACAATTTATGATGGGTAATTACGTAAGTTCCGTGAAAAGCATTAGCTTTGTTGTTTTGGTAATACCTCAAAATGAACCTGTGAATGTCTGTGGGTGAGCACGTCTTTGCCATTCAAAAATCAAAGCGCACTTTTTTTATTTTATAATGCCGTCTTATTGCTCTTCTTTGTAGTAGTTGCATTTTAAAAATGTTTTCCCAATCAATCCTGGACTCCTGCTCAAAATGATCAATTATTATAAGGACAGCTACAAAAAAACCCAACAATAAGCCCGCGAAGCTGTTATCATTCCATCCTGACGGATGACATGCGTGACAGCTAAGTGGAATCCCGGAAAATAAACCGTGGAACTTTGACCAATGAGAGAACAGTTTACTCGCGCGTGACTTGTATTAACAAATTTGGTCCGTTTAGAAACTTTGCCATGTGAAAGCGAACCGCACCAAGAATAAAAAGCAACATTGTAATAATTTTAATGGCCACAGGAATGCTGATGCATGGCATGCCCTCATTAATCACGTTACCCTCAAGGTGTCCAGTAAATGAAATCACACTTTCTGTCAATCAGACACAAACCAAAATGTCGGCCCTTCAGAATGTCCCTCGGGTGAAAAAGGGGAGGGACGAAGACAAGCTATAATCTATAGGGAACGTTATTTAATAAGGATCTAATCCATTCTTTAACCACAAGTACTCTTCAACTAATTTTCACGCGCCCATAATTATTTACCACAGAACAGTGGTGAACAGTTTTTAAAATCTGTTCAAGAAAAGCTGTTTCAGCCGCAATCAGTTCATTTGTTAAACTCCATCCAACTAACTCAGACACATGCAAGAATAAAAAAAATAAAATAAATACATGGTTGTAAAGAAGACATCTGAGCACAATCTTAAGAAAAGTGTATTAAATTATATAATACAGCAATTAGTTCTGCTCCACTTATTTGGTTGGACAAAATGATGTTTCGAGATATTTGAAATGTTTTGGCGTTTGCATCACTCCTCTTGTCTGCAAATGCTACACTGAACATTTGATCCTGGTTTAGATTCTTTTGAAACTACGTTCGTTCGTGAAAATAAACAATATCTACAAATATTGTGTCTGAAACGTCAGTTATTCAGTATTAACTTATTTTTATTGAACTACTGAATTTAAGCAATTTCACCAAGTAATAACCTGATAAAAACTAAAAGAAGATTCTGAATTTATTTCCTCTAGACAATCATATAAGACAATTTGTACTGTCAAACTTCACATTGTAATATTGCATTATGGGGCAAATATTCTCCATACCGTCTCAATCCCTCCTTCTTATCGTCTCTGCTCAAGCACATATCCAGATGTTTATTAATGTGCTGTTCGGACACACCTACTCCACAGATAGGACATTCCACTGCAACACACATTATTAAAAATAATTGCTTATTACCAGTACTGAGTCCTTCCTATTAAAATCTCTGGAAAACATGCACAGATGTGTTTATAAGGGGTTCCCCACTCTACAAAATTATAATAATTCACTTGTGAAGAAAACAAATCAATGCATCAGAGGGCAACCCATTATCAATGAATCAAGGGATAATCCATGTAATAGTCTGATAGAAAAATCCATTACTTTTAACATTTAACTAATATACAAGTTTATTTCTAACATACAATAGAACTGTCTGCAACAAAATATCAGATTGTGCACATCACCTTTAACCAGCAGCTTATTTTGTGACGTGGAAGGAAAAGCAGTTACATCCATCTTTTCGTCTTTCACCACTCCCGTTGTATCTTTCACATTTTCTTGCTTGATGCTGCCTAGCTGTTGAACACACAGCTCCACAGGTTTCGATTTGACTGGCATGTGAACCTCAAGACTTGTTTGGGTCCTTGACGAGGCAGTTATAGGGGTCTTCTTCTGGAAAAAATGACTGAGGGTGTTTGCTTCCTTTTTGAGGCCCTTCTGTCTTGCTGCTTTGCCTTTGATCATCATAGCCGGGGTTTCAGGTGAAATAGGGGGTGATTCCAAATTTGAGTGACACAATTTTTGCCTGGTGAGATGAGAAAGATATGTATAGTTCATTTATTTGATTTGCATTTATTTGATCACAAATTCAGTAAAAGTAAATAAGTAATTTTAAAAAAAGTAACATTGTAAAATAATATTAAAATTTAGACAAACGGTTTTCTATTTTAGTATATTTTAAAAATTAGTTTATTCCAGTGATGGCGAAGCTGAATTTTCAGCAGCCATTATTCCACTCTTCGGTGTACTTTCAGAAGTCATTCTAATATGCTAATTTGGTGCACAAGAAACATTTCTTATTATCAATGAGTGAGTTTTTGTGCCAGCAGACTTGCAAGGATAAAAGGGGCTTCCAAAACTTTTGGGCCATGTGGTGTATGTAAGGGACATACAATATGTAATATCAAAGACACAAAAAATTCTTGAAGAACAAACTGGGTCAAGGACAAAAAAAGAAAGGTTGTTTGAACATCTGTTTGAGCCACTAAGGTGACGATTTGTTTTTGACAGCAAAACTGTGCTTCTCTATACAACGTGTAAGCCTTCGAATATCTCCGCTTCCCTACTGAGGGACAGTGAGAGATGAAATTGTGAAAAATAATTTTAGAGGAGGGCAGAAGGAGTGTATAAAGAGAAAGGAGTACATAAAAGGAAGTGAGAGAGAGAGAGTGAATGCAGGCAAGCACCTGTCGGTTTCGCAATTCCAGGGGATATGTAGTAAGCCAACAAACGCAGAGAGTGGCTGTGAGGCCATTACAGAGCCATAAAGTGAAGTCAATGAGGTGTGCAAACACTACTTTCCATATTGAAACCTTTTATTTCTCTTTGTCTGCCCGTTAGTCCACATATACGCACACAAAACAAAACACTTAAGAAAAAAGAACAAGACACAAGGCGTCCCAATCTGTATTAAAGCAGCTGTGACCATTTTGGGTCTACGTTATCATCTGAATGGTGGTGTCAGTTTTAAATACAGCTGTAAACTGTGTCCGTCTTCATTTCAGGCTGCAAAGCAACAAAATGTGATTATTTTAAAGAGGGGTGATTCTTTTCTATACCCACTGTACATACTCTGAAAGCTCTACTTACAGGGTGGCACCATGACTAAGGTTATTAAGTAGCAGAAAGCTATCATCAAATGAGCTAATGAGAAACAAGATTTAACCGGTATTTAAACATTTATTGAAAACAACTACAGATGCAATCATAATGCAACACATTTGTTCATACAGTGTTGAAATCTACTCGAAATATCACAAGCACATTTCAAAGGTGTTTATGTAGAAGTCTTAAAGACAAAGCAGCAAAACAGAAAATAAAGCATGCCCTTTAAAGGGTCCGAAATAGGGTGGAATAGTCGTGATTATACTAACTAAATCATGACTGTTTGGAGCAAAAAACCTTGACTAATATTATAAGCGGACCTCATGCAAAAAATAAAATGATAAAAACATTTTTAGGTTATTAGGAAAATTTATATGATCCCTTTTTACTAATGAATAACAAACTGTCCTGATTTTTTGGACTTTCTTCTGTAATGCTTTTAAAAAAATCAACTGCAGTCTTGTAACTACAGGCATAACTACCCACCCAGTCAAGACCATGAAAAAACCCTCATGGACCCCCTCACAGACCACAGAAAATACGGTCTACTTTCAGTCCCCCAAAGCGCTGCTGTGAATCCAGTAAGGCAAACGGAACACACCAAGAATATTTATTGCTGTAGAGAACCAAATACGTTACATAACCACCAGCAGGTTCCAGCTGAGAAAACAGGGCAAAGTGGTCGAACCACAGTTTTGGAAAGGTTTATAAAGAATAGGTGTGACTGAAGAGTATATCATTCTGAGTTTAAACCCAAATTTATACGATTTAAAAAATCTGAATTTCAGTAGCTTTCAAGTGGGTTATAGCAGCAAAAAATACTGGGGTCTGCATCTTAATAAAGCCTATAAAGGCAGAAAAACCAAGCTTTCCCAGTTTGTATGGAAATGAAATTTCAGAAAACTTGAAAACTTGGATCTCTTTGGAAACTCTTTGATCTTCCAACTGCAAGAGAAGGAAGAGTAGGAGACAATGAGCTTGCAACAGCAGTAGCTCAGAGGAGTCGATTATCAGACCTGGAAAACAAAGCTAATTGCACTCACTGAGACCAAGAAGCTCTATAATATCGGGAGAAAGCTATTCATTAGCATTCCCATTCAACTCAATGACCGTTTCCCAGCTGGCGCAGGACAGTATGAGATTTGAAATCTACTGTCTTTGCTAACAGGCACTCAGCTTACTTGGGCCATGATTATTTCACTTATTAAAAAAAAAAAAAACACTATATACATATGTAATATCACGAAAAAATATTCTATCCAAGATACACTAGCCAAAGAAATGTAAACAAAATTAAAAGCAATGCTGTATCTATATCTATTGACCTAACTCTAGCACTCTCTATTCTAATTCTATTCTTTATATTAAAAAAAAACTTGCCCCTTTTAGACTTGCACTATTTATTTACTAACGGCTTGTTTTCTTTAAAAAATAAAAAAAAATAACACTTGCTTCTCTAATCTTTTTGCATTCTATCTATTTGTTTTCTTTTTATTTATTATACTATTATAATTCTGACTTTCTGACTTCTGATTAGCAAAAGCAAAAAAGGCCTCTAACACTAACTTGCTATATTCTTTTTCTATTCTGTTTTCTTTTTATTTATTATATGATAAGAAAAAAAAAAAACTTGCTACGTGTACTGCATTAGGCAAGGCAAGGCAAGTTTATTTATATAGCACATTTCATACACAATGGTAATTCAAAGTGCTTTACATAAAAGAAAAGAAAAAAATTATCACAACAATAAAACAAGGAATTTAAAAACTTTGAAAATGATTAAAAAATTGATTTAAGAGGTTTAAAATGAATTTAAAACAGTTAAAAATAGGAAATCAACTGCGGGCGGCATAATAACTAAAAGCAGACTCCCGTTGTTCCCCTTGTTTCCTTGGTATTTCTAACTGACTCGATCCTAATGATCTGAGTGGTCTGTTAGGTTTATATTCTTTATATTCAGTTGTTATGTATTTAGGTCCTAGGCCATTGAGTGATTTATAAACG